TGAAGATATGGTGTACCCTAGTTCCAAGTCAACACCCAGGGTCGACCCTACAGCCAAGTAATCCTATAGGGACTCTTCTTGAATTCTCTTATAATGATCTTATCTACTAAATGCTAGAGGTTAAGATCAATATGTGGAATTTCAAGTTGAGTAAAAAGAAGAGTTTTGAATTTCTAATGGTGGGGGTACCTTTTCTAATTTTCTAAGACTAGTCAATAGGAAAGTCCTATGGCTAGACCTTGACTACTAAAGAAGTTTTCTAGACCTCAACCAAAAGTGAGGTCAACAATATCCATAAGAAGGATCTCATGTAAATGTCCACTAAGAGCATCCAACCATACCTTTGAGCCTCAGAGTGGGTGAGACGCAAGATTTGGAGTCGTCGGAGCTGTGGTCGTCGGGGCACTGGAGTCGCCAGGAAAGGGGAGGGAAGGGGAGGGTTAGGGTACGAGGGAGAGGGAGAGGTTGAGAGGGATTAGGGATTAAGGCAAGTTCAGGGGTGTAGCGAGTTTTGGCGGTATAAATGATTATTTTTGACTGCTTACAAACGTCTTCAACTTCGTAGGATATTAATATTAATATTAACGACATTGACTTTTGATTACTAAAAAAGCTCGTCGACTAACGCTCCACCAAATGGCGGGTTCATAAATAATTGACGACTGAAGACCGTTGGCTATTATGTGCTTATAAACGATGGTAAAATGCGTTGGTTATAATAAAAATTGTCTGAAACTAATCTAATATTCATAAATGATTGTATTTTACCATAAAAAATACTCAATACATAAGCCGTCGTAAAACTGTCAAAAAATAGGACATTTTTACAGACAAAAAATTAAGCTATTGGTTTTGTGTCGGTTATAGCGCTTTTTCTTACAGTGTTATAAGATATATAAACTTCACTTCAGTCCCTATTAATGGAGAAATAGAATGAAAAAAGCAATACCCATTACCAAATTCAATAATAGTTGGCCATAGATGAGACATTAGAAATTTCAAGCCTTAGTTTTAATTTATTTATAGTGATAGTATATTGAAACTCAAAGAGTCATAATATTTGTTACCGTTGTAGCAATGATTTTTAGTATCATTGAAATAATAATAATGAAGAAGCTTCAAAATAAAAAAATAAGAAACACACTGATTTCTATGATAATTTTAAACAGGTAAAAAATCATTGATAAAGAAGGAGAATTTGCTATATTGAAGTAATGTGTACAAGTGAAGAGTGACGGCTCATGCGACATAAGTAAACCCTATTAGCTCAATTCCTTTGTTATCCTCATATATTCTCAACAATTTTCTCATATTTTGGTTTATACCGCAGATGTCACATCCTGAGCCTTTTGATCCAAATCAAGCTCAAAATAATTTGAGTCATACTCCAACAATTACCATGAGAAAATCAATTGAAACATGGTCTCTCTCTAATTGAAATAATAGAAGCAGACAACCATTAGAGATTTGGTTAATCACAAATAAAATGGAAATCTAATTTTTGTTCTATTTCAGTTGACACATAAACCGTCCGTCTAAATTATCATAATATTGATGTGTGAGTCATTAGTGCATGGAGTAGATAATTAATTTAGGTTAATTGATAAAATTTGATTCATGTGGATCTAGCTAGTAAATATGATGTTTTGAATTTTCAAAATATGATCATTAAAGATATTCTTAATTAACAAAATGAATGTGTGTTAGAAATTTGATAATCAAGAATGGTACTTTCTATGATGAAAAAGCATAAATTTAGTTATTTTCTTATGCTTTTAACTTAAAAAACTTGCTTATTTAAATACATGTTATGTGAATATCTAATGATTTTCTTAAAAAAATTTTAGGGCACTATGTTCCTCAGTTGGCCAAAAAAATTGTTGGCTACAACAAAGCTTCTTCAGAGCCTTTTATCAACCTTCAAGGATTCATTGTAAGTTAACATGTACCTTATGAGAGGGGCTATGCATAACATCTATGCTATTCACTTTAAATCAACAACTGGATTCTTTTCTTACCTCCCCTTCGTCCTAATTGTGCCAACCAAGTATTGTTTTCTTATCATCACAAATTCATCTTCCCTTTATCATATGCAAGTACCATAAAAAAAAATGTGTGTTGTTGGACTTCATTCCTAGAATTGGAGGTCCTATTATCTGAAATTGTTTTATGGCTATAGAAAACTTTTAATTTAACGATCATTCTACACACATCCTTCTTAAAAATAAAATAAAATAAAATAAAATAAAAATTAATTGATCCTTCATTAGCAACGTCACTATTCAATCAAGTACTAATATTCCTCACATATTGATTGTCAAATGAGATGTTATTACAGTTACTTTTGGTGACCCAATTACCTCTCCAATGTTAATTACTATTAAATCATAGATTCATTTGAGAATTTCAAGATAACTTTTTGACACCCATATTTCTCCAATGCACTTGAACCATGTCCTCTATGCTCTAACACTCTTACACTGGAAGCTTTGATGAGTAATATTCAATATCATGTAAAAATATCAATATTATTATTATTTTTAGATGAAATACAAAGTTTATATATGTATATATATATATATATATATATATA